GCAGCTTCTGAAGCAGCACCGACTCATTCACAAATGGAACAAAAGAGACAAACTTGCCTGTGTAAAGATTTTGAATGTCGCGCTTTCTCTCTCCCATCTTTCTTTTTGTTTCTCCACTATGGTCTCCCCTCACTGGCCGTTTCTCCATGTACCTGGTCAGGATCTGTTGATACTCGGAGAACGCCAGCGCCCGAAACACAGCTTTGTCCTGGGGTACCTCACATCCTGACTTCTTCAGCTGACTCAGCAACCACTCCGACTTAGGCTTGTATTTGGTTGTTGTCTGATAATGCGTCACTTCAGTGTCCTGTACCACAGGCATGGGCATTTCTGTGCCAGAACTTTCATACTGCTCAGAATCCAGCTCTGAGTTGGATTGTAACTGGTCCTTATCCTTCCCATCATGCACTGGTGCTGTTACCCATGAATCATCAGTTTCTGTTGGCGTTAGAGTCAATGCTTCTGTTCCTATCACTGTATCTGTACAAGAATCCTCAGAATCCAACATGGAATTTGAATCCTTTATATCTGTTGCTCTATTTGAGTATGCCACATCTGTATCATTTATGTCTAAATCTGCTGTGGCAGTGGATGATGTCACACCACTCTGTGATGTCACACTAGTATCTGATGTCACACCACTCTGTGATGTCACGCTAGCATCTGATGTCACACCACTCTGTGATGTCACACTAGCATCTGATGTCACACCACTCTGTGATGTCACACCACTCTGTGATGTCACACCAGTATCTGATGTCACACCACTCTGTGACGTTATATTTTCATATATTTCCGTTGTCACATATTCCTCACTAGATGGCACTGTCTTCTCACTGTTGTTTGGAGTGCTGTGTGACCCGAGATCCATGATAACAACCTTGTTGTGGGAAACCATTTCCGTACGTGAGCCCAGTGCATCATGGGATACGGAGGAGTCACCAGGGATTGTGTACTTCTTGATGACATTTTTATCAGCGTCTTCACTTGTACACAGGAATCGTGAGGTGGTCACATGATCTGGAATATGTATTTAAACAATTTGTCAAAGAGCATGTTAATTTCAGCAGTTTTACTGCATATAAATTGGTATTATTTCTGATTTCAAAGTTTATATTTATTATTTCTGATTTTCAAATTTCCTTTACACTAAAGCAATCAATATCTGCCATTCCCTTGTAAATGCAATGTCAAATTTTGGCCAAGAAGGCCATTACAGACATGCTGAAAACTCTGAGGGCAATGCAGGCTAATCAGCCTGCTTAGATCTGAATATTGCAGGCCCGGACAAGATATTGCTGGCCCAAATGTTTTTCACATTAATTTGTATATTTACCCTATTTCGCGTAAAAACTGTGCACTTTTAACTTCTGCTTTATCCAATTTAAAAGGACAGTTGAGTAGCAATTAGGTGATTAAAAATCAAATAACTGCATCTTTGAATAGATCTTTTATTGAAGAGACATTTTACTGCTCAGGTGACATCTGGGTAATATATGACTTAAAGGTAAACTAAGGGCCAAAAAGGCATCAAAACTCACAGAAAACAAATTTTCCACAGGTAAACTGCAATTTTCCTAGACTAACCTTAAACCAGGCCTTACCTGAGCTAAATCATCCGTCTAAACTACCCAAGAGCACTTTTCCAAGTTTTGAGTTTCTTACAGCAGTTTTAGACAAAATGTCAAATTATCCCAACCTACACATGACTTTAACTTGCATCGAATAAAAGTACTGATGGAATAACAATACAGGGTGGAAAAAATCTTAATATTTAATAAAAGTAGTGATGGAATAAAAGTACTGGGTGGAAAAAATCTCAAAATTTAATAAAAGTACTGGATGGAATAAAATAAATAAAATAAAGAAGAAGAAGAGAAAGAAAAAAACTATTTATCATTGTAAAAAAAACTTTCTGCAGGTAAAATTCACTCAGTATTATAATTTATTTATATTGAAAACAGGATATCCAATTTATTTTCAAAAAAAAAAAAAAAAAAAATTGCCATACGTTCTGAATAATGTATCAAAATGTCATTTTTGTCACCGCCTAATGTCATGATGAAAATATATAATACATTCGTGTGAACAGTATCCACGGATACGAGTTCAATTTCATAATCATCAGGGTCCGAAGACACACCAAAGCCGCCTCCAATAGCTATACGCTGTTAGGAGACGTTATTCAAAGTAAATTTATTCTCAGAAATAAGGTTTGTTTTGCATACTGAGTACCTGTACACTCCTAAGGGTTTATCTTACATAGAAGTGTGATTTAACATCGTTTAAATCATAAATCGGCATGAAATAATTGACGTTTGAAAACAGACAAAACTTCTTTGCTGCACTTGAAATGACCTCATTAGCTATAAATATGATCCTATCACCTTGCGACATGACATCAATCATTCAATATACATGAGTAGTTGTCACTGTTGAAGGGAAAGCACGTCTATTTATAGAAACTGAAATCAGACAACGCATGTATCGTAGTGTTCAGAGAGCGACTTCCGCTTGACCTACTTTTCAGTTCTGTTTGTCGAACAGTAGGTAATGAGTTGAGAATCTCTCGATTTTCTTCTCATTATACTTCAATTTAAGAAAATAAAAAGCGTGACTTGTACTTGTATAATTTCCCACCGGTACAATAGGTAGTTAATAAACATACTGGTTGGAAGATTTTTGAAAAATTTTAATTAATTAATTAAAATTTTTTATTAAAATAACCGTACTAGGTGAGTCAGAAATTATTGCCGGCCAAATTGGGCCAACATACACTAAAATTTTAAGAATATTGTCGGCCCGACTGCCTGATTGGTGGGTCAAGGGCCGGTGGCCGGAAATTTTCAGCATGTCTGCATTATAAAAATATTGATTGTCCATGCAGTAAATTCAATCAGACTGTGTTACATGATTCTCCTCTTCCCAACTGCTTACATTTTCCACCTGTTCCAAGCTGGCTTCTTATGACGGCCCTCCCAGAGACTAAGTGTCTGCTTATACGCAACATTCTAGAAAGAAAGAATTATATTTCAATGTCATAGTAAATTAACTTAATTAATTAATTTGGTGGTAAATTTTTACTAAAGTTTTAGCTTGGATAAATTGGCACCCTTATCCGGTATGACTGAAATGCGCAATACACTGCAATACAGCGCAACACAGCGCAATACACTTCAAAAATCAAATCCAGTTGCAATTACACTAAAGAAATGACCATTCCCAGCAAAGTAGGGTGATATAAGAACAACATATATTACTAGGTAAGTAATATCGTTGATATAACTTAACAAATCAGCAAGACTTTTATTTTGTCCGGTTGGCAGCCATGTTGGCGAGTGGCTCTTCTTGGATATATTACTGGCCAAGAAGAGCTACTCGCCAACATGGCGGCTGACCGAACAATGAAAAAATTGTCAAGTTGTANAGTAACGTCTCACGTTAAAAAAAAATAGAACCCACCCTGCTAAGGTTATTAGAGACTAAAACCTGTGATGGGCCTACAACATTTAAATGATCACTTATCAATAAAATACACACAAAAAGGATATTACATACAAAACTTTTCAAACCTTCTCTTTGTTGTTACACAAAAAGTCGTGAAAGTTCTTGAATTTTTTCTAAGTAGAATCCCCGTGTAAAACTTCACAGCTTTTACTTTCTTTTTCCATAATCTCATGCTTGAAGTCTTTTCTTAATTTTAAGGCCCCAGCCTACACTGTAAAAACAGTGTTTAGCTCCTAAACACATTTCTAAGCGCCTGTTTTGTCTCACTTTTTCGACGCGTTTAGCTCTTAACATGCTTAGCTCCTTAACATGGTACACGCTTATGTTTAGCAGTATGACGCGTTTGACGGCTTATAAATGTAGGGTGTATTTGTTTAACTTTTGGGTTTCAACTGTTTTGGTCGCACACACACACACACACACACACACACACACACACACGAACTCACGGTCAACTTTAACTGCTATAGTTATTTCTTTCTATAACAGGGTACCGTGAACTGTCAACATCGTTGACTTCCCACTATCATCTTTACAGCTGGACTTATTCATCCTTGTGTTAGCTGACCTTGCGAGGGAGTTTATTGGAATGTATTTCTGAAAAGCAGGATAGGAAATTTCACTAGTTCACTAAAGGCACGAAACAACTATCATTTTTACTTTAAAACACCTTTCTCCATATTTTGATAAAATGAGTTACGGTATTGATATCTATTTATTTTTTTCCGGAAGTAATGAACAATAGAACATCAGGATGATGGTGGGGTATTCATTATAATACTTTATTTAAGCTTTACATGCTGGTTATTTCTGTACCGATAGTCCGAATATTCTACAATTCGCACCTATCTAGTTGCCGACTAACCCCAAGCCCATTTTGGAATTAACCGCTAACTGTAGTTCAAACAGCATAAGACATGTTTTGGTTATTTATATTAAAAAAATGTTTTCAAAACAGTATATAATGTTTTTCCAGAATGTTATAAACACGCTGATAAAACTCCACAAAATGACGTTACATATGTATCATAAAATTTTGTAGAAACGGTCTTCGAATCTTTTTACAAATTATAACGTTACTGTACATCATTTTGCATGGACTTAAACACCCATAACGTTACCATAATGTTCTGCTATACCATTACCAGCATGTAACCATCTGATAACGTCGTGAAAACGTTATTTGTTATTTGGATTATTACTTAAAGGTACATATGAACCGAGCATCGGTGGAGCGTGGGTTGCCAGTAACACATATAAACCACTTCTACTAGATTCTTGTACGACTCAAATTAAGGGACAAACTGAATAAATCACTCGATCAGCCATAAAAGAGCTTTAGACTGCTCTTTAAATTTTTGGTCAGAAATTTAACCCACTTATGTGACCTACTTTTCTGCCCCATGTATATACAGGATAGTAAGCTAACAGAAAAATCCATTCAAATATCATTTTTCGGGTAATATTAATCAATGCCTTCTGGCAATTCTCTTAATTATACTTTTTGAAACTATATACTGGTATTTGGTTGGTTTTTGAGCAAAAAATTGACTTTGTATGCATCTTTAATAGGCCTATTTAAAATAAGCACGCGTTACTGCAAGGAAGGACACAAAGCGTTCGAGCAGACTGCTCCACGCCTTCAACAGCTCCACACGTTTACAAGGGAGAGTGTCAAGCCAAATTGTTGAGCCTTGTTATAAACTTATGGAACCGGTGAAACTAATCACATAGCTAAAAGTGCGACACTTCTAAGAATGTTAAACATTTTTATTTCTTCTGAAAGAAGCTTGAAAAGCTAAACTTGTTGTTCAGCTACCCTCTACCAGGGCGACAGATTGATTTTTCACAGATATTCACAGATATGTCTCTAGATAAATAGATAGTCAATTTGATCTGATGTCGCCTCAGCAAAAAATGTCTCCAAGAACTGCAGCCTTGGTAGAGGGTATTGTTCAGCAGCTCCACGCGTTTAGGAATTCCACACCTATAGCAGCTCCATGTGTTTAGCAGCCTCACGCGCTTAGCAGGGGAAGTGCTTAGCCAATGTGCTTAGCTTGTGATAGACTTATTATAGATCCATATACCGGTGAAGCTAAGCACATAGCTAAACGTGTAACACTGCCAACGTGTCTAGCATTTTCTTCTGTGAAACGCTTGAAAAGCTATACGTGCATAGCTTTTACACATATTTCTAAATGCGTATAGGTGCTTAACGCATGTTGTATGTATTTAAATGCTAAGCACTGTTTTTACAGTGTATTCTTCAATTTTTTCTTCAAATTTTTATAATGTTTTTTTTTTTTCTCGCATTTTTTACCCCCGAGTTCTATTTGCCGATAGTTCGCTATATCCGTTGTTTAACTAAACATTTCTGTTTTTTATTAAAGCACCGTATTATAGTTTTTCTTCCCGCCTTCGAAATGTTCAGCGCAAACGCGGTGCCCTGTTTTTGATCCAAACCTGCTATATTTTCCTTTCTTTCTACTATATTTTTCATTCTAACGGCTTTGTTGGGAACTTATTAAACCTCATGTGTCGATCTCGCTTACTGTTATTGTAGTAGCGGGACAAAAAGCACGTAAACCCAATCATGGTTTTTAGCACCGCTGTAAGTGTTTCGACGTAGCAGGGCTCCCCTACCCACAATGCAATATCAATTTCCGGAAAAGATGAAAAAGGCTAATAGACACTAGTGTAAACGCTCTGCTGTTTTCTGTAGATAAAATCTCTCCTTGGACACTGACCGAAATAACAAAGTTACAGGTGGACTATAAAGGTACACTGTATCAGGTAACGCACTTCATTATAGAAAAAACGCTCATTATAACGCGAAGATTTGGATTTTTTCATTTGAACTATAGGCCTATATCTATACGTACAGAAAGAAACTGTCAAATTTGAGAAGTGCTCAACGTTGCGCAATCGGAAGCTATAGTTCCTTTGTTACCCGAACAATAAACACAATGGCATCTAATAACCCAAGCGAAAACGAACAAAGCGGATAAAGGACCTCAGACAAAGTCCTGAAGAAAATGCTGCAACTACATATCAATTCGACTCCCTCATATATACGGCACAGCAATGCCAGTGGGAAAAGACCACAAAAGAAGAAAAGAACAAGATCAAACAGCATGGACTTAACAGAAAACATTACGGTAGACGAACTACGATCCATCCAAGCTACTCTAGCAGAGATTAAAAGTGAAATGATAAGAAAATCTGACGTAAAGGAAATCATTGCCCAAATGAAACATGAAATCAAGCAGGAGGTGAAGGAGGATATTAAACAAGAAATGCAACAATACTTGACTGATAGACTCAGCCTCCTGAGCGAGAAAATAGATGCCCTATATCTGGACAACGAATCCCTGCGTGAGAAACTCTCCAAACAAATCAGTGACACAAGGAAGTCCCTTGCCAACCTAAAAGAAACCAGCCATTTGGCGAAAACAGCTGTGAAAATGGCAAACTACAACCAGCAGTATTCGCAGAAAAACAACATTAAGTTTTTAAACTGGCCGGAAAAACCAAAAGAAGACCTGAGGAGAGACCTCTGCCGCATCCTGAAGGAAAAGGTGAATGTGGACATAAGCCCCGCCTCAATTCTGGGAATCCACAGAATACCAGGTAACAGCGGTGGCGCAAGACCCGTCATAGCCAAATTCGTTAACACCAAGGAAAAAACGAAAGTTATCAAGCATAGACAGGCGCTGAAAGGTAACTTTATAATGTTCGATCACATTACTCAGAAAAATGCTGAGTTGATCAAAATTCTAAAAGGTAAAGAAGCTGTACATTCAGCCTGGTACTTCAATGCCAGAATATTTGCCATAAGAAATGACGGTCGCCGATATACATTCGACATATTCGACGATATCGACACCAAATTAAAACAATAAGCCTGAAAATGAATTTTATACGGACACTGAAATTTTGGACAATAAAAATCAATGTAAAACTGAAAGTAGTTATAAACAGCAGAGCGCTAGTATCAAATTATTATTATCATTATTATTATCATTATTTTTTTTAATTATTAGTTATTAGTACTATCCTGTGTAAGTGTGTGTTTTCGATAGTTTGTCTTCGTGTGTATGTCAATTCTGGTAGAATGGGTACAAGTGGTCTATTGTATGCGTGGGTGGATGGAAGTGAATTTGATAATGCATTATATAGTATAACCGATATATATGTAGTTAAGTTATCCCTATTAGTTTGCAACAACGAAACACTTAGATTTGATACCTCAGTACGATTGCTTTACCTACACTTAGAATATGACTGTGCGATGTAAATTTATTTTCTGTCGTATATACATATGCGGCAGAAACCTGGTAGATATACACAGATCAAATCAAATATTAAAATATGCTCAGTAAATTGTAGGGGCCTTGGGGACCGAAATAAGCGGTTAGATGTGTTCAATTTCTTGCGGAAGAAATCCTTTTCCATCTACTGTTTACAAGATACTCATAGTACATTATCTATGGAAAAATATATAGCAGCTGAATGGGGTTTTAAATGCTTTTTCAGTCATGGAACCTCTAATTCAAGAGGAGTTGCAATATTGGTTAACAATAATTTTGAATATAAAATTAAGGAGGTTGAGAAAGACACTAACGGAAACTTTATTGCTCTTAGTATGATAGTAGATGAAAAAGACATTTCACTCATAAATCTGTATGGTCCCAATAATGATTCACCTGAATTTTTCTTAAAAATACACGAGACAATAATGAATTTTGGAAATCAGGATCATATTATCTGTGGGGACTTTAACTTAGTATTAAACCAAGAGAAGGACACATATAACTATAAACATAAAAATAACCCCAAGGCCTCTAATCAACTTTATACCTTGATGGAATTACATAACTGGCACGACATATGGAGGGAAATGCATGAGGATGTTAGACAGTATACATGGCGGCAGCCTACGCCTTTTAAACAGGCAAGGTTAGATTATTTTATTGTTTCCACAACCATTACAAATTATATCGAAGATAGTCAGATTATTCCAGGTTATAAGAGCGACCACTCCATTATAACTCTGGACTTACAGTTAAAAAGGAAAATTAAACACGGAAAAGGTTTTTGGAAATTCAATAACTCCCACTTATATGAAAGTGAGTATGCCGATATGGTAAAGCAGATAATCAATGAAACTATCTTAGAGTATGCAGCAGCGCCCTATAATAGAGATAACATACTGAATATTGACAGACATTCTTTACAGTTAACTATAAGCGATGGGCTATTTCTTGAAACTCTCTTAATGAAAATTAGGGGGAAAACGATTGCTTTTGGTGCTAGGATAAAAAAGAAAAGAGAGTCAGAGGAAAAACAAGTGGAAAATACTATAAACGACCTAGAGAATGATCTTAAAAATGAGGCCGAATTAGACAAAAAAGAAGAAATTCTTGAAATGATAAATAAGGAAAAGATGAAACTGGAAAATATAAGAAAAATAAAAGTAAAAGGCATAATGATAAGATCAAAAGAAAGATGGATAGAATACGGAGAAAAACCATCAAAATACTTTTTAGCACTGGAAAATCGCAATTTTACAAATAAGTCAATAACTAAACTGGTAACAGATAACGGAAATATTCTTACTGAACAAAATGAGATTCTCAAAGAAACCGCACGCTTTTACGAAAATTTATTTAAGAAACAAAATCACAAATCAGTAGACATAAAAACTCGATTGGAAAATATTGAAACTCCAAAATTGACCGAAGCCGAAGCATCCTCGCTCGAAGGAAAGATAAACTACGCTGAACTCTATACAGTATTAAGACAAACGAAAAATGAAAAGAGCCCAGGTACCGACGGGTTTACTTACGAATTTTTCAAATTCTTTTGGAAAGAACTGAATAGTTTTTTAATAAGATGTATAAACGAGGCATACGAAAAAGACAAACTACCTATAACTCTTACCCGGGGTATAATCGTCCTTCTACCTAAACATAATAAGCCTACCAACTCGTTAAAAAACCTAAGACCGATATCACTACTTAATGTTGTGTATAAACTCGCCTCGGCATGTATAACGAATCGAATAAAGAAAGTATTACCAATATTAATAAATGAAGACCAAAATGGGTTTATGGCGGGCAGATACATAGGTGAGAATACACGGACCATTTTCGACTTAATTGAATACTGTGACGCACATGAAATACCAGGTCTGTTGATGCAAATCGATTTTGCTAAGGCTTTCGATTCAATCGACTGGGGTTTTATCGAAAAAACCTTTGAATTCTTTGGCTTTGGAGAATCTATCATAAAATGGATAAAACTCTTCCTTAAAGACTCCTCTTCGTGTGTCTTGGTTAATGGTTTTGCCTCTTCTTTCTTCAATCTTTCTCGGGGTTGCCGTCAGGGGGATCCCATCTCCCCTTACCTTTTCATTCTTTGTGCTGAGATACTAAGTATCATGTTAAAAAATGAAATAGACATAAAAGGCATTACAATACATAATCAAACTTTTCTCATCTCCCAGTATGCTGATGACACAACTATTGTGTTGGATGGGACTGAAAAAAGTTTAAGAAATACCCTAAAGGTTCTAAATGAATTCTCCCAATTTTCTGGACTACAAATGAACAATCAAAAAACTAAATTAAACTGGTTCGGAAGCAAGAAAGACTCACAAGAGAGCATGTGTAAAGAGTTGAATCTCGATTGGAATGAACGTTTTTTCAGAATCCTTGGAATAGATTTCTCAGTAAATTTACATGAAATGATTGAGAAAAATTATAGAGAGAAACTCGAAGATATGGAAAGAACTATGAAACAATGGACTCACCGATCGCTAACAGTTTTGGGGAGAAATGTAATTTTTAAATCACTGATCCTTCCAAAAATGACTCATTTATTTTCCACATTGCCAATACCAAACAAATATGTAGACAAAATACAAAAAATGTGCTTTAATTTCATATGGAATGGAAATATTGAAAGAGTAAAACGAGATATAATGACACAGTCGTACTCAAATGGAGGTATAAAAGTCCCCGATATTAGAAACTATATTGATTCCCTAAAAATTTCATGGCTCAGGAGAATCATGCACAAAAATTCAAAATGGTCTTTCTTTTTCCTTAGTCTGATCCCTGAAAGTAAGGGTGTACACTGGTCTGAAATGGGAATGTCTGAAATGCAAAAAATTAAGAACGGATCAAAAAATGCTTTTTGGAATCAAGTCATTGATGCATGGTGCAGACTGTTAAAGAATAAAAAGATTGATACAAAAGAAAATTTTTTAAAAGAATGTTTATGGCTAAATGATAAAATACGGATAAAAAACAATCCTATTCTTATAAGAACCTGTAATAAAATAGGTATAAGAAACATAAATGACTTGATCGATACAGAGGGAAATTACCTCACATACCAACAGTTCAAGGAAAGGCACGGGAATATAATAAATTATGTTACGTTCACAAGTATACTATGCGCAGTAAAAAAATTTCAAAAACAAATGAATATAGACAATTTACATGAAAAAATTGAGCTCCCTATAATTTCAACCCAACTTAAATGGCTATTAAAATTTACAAAAGGGGGGAAACCTTTTTACAATATTTTGAACTCAAACGAAATGAAAAAGACTAATGCAATGTCAAAATGGGAACTCCTTTCTAAAGAACCTCTCACAGCTGAAGAGTGGAAAATCTTGAATAACATTCCTTTCCAATGTACTTTAGATACTAAACTGCGCTGGTTTCAATTTAGAGTATCAAAAAGAATTTTAGCTACAAATAATTTTTTACGAAAAATTGGGATAAAAGACACAGAGACCTGCTCCTTCTGTAACGAACACCCTGAAACTCTTCAACACTTATTTATTGAGTGCAAAGTAATTGCTCCCCTTTGGGCAAAAATACAAGACTGGATCCATTTAAAGACTGGACTTGTATTACAATTAACAGCATCTGATATAATTCTAGGAATTCCAAATTTGAAATGCAATGCGCTCAACAGTTTGCTGATCATAACAAAATTTATTATATATAAATTTAAAATGAAAAACATTACCCCGAACATAGAAAATATTAAAATAGAATGGAGACAGGCCTACATCGCAGAGAGAAATATAAGTCTGAGAAACATGACAATAGATAAATTTAATGAAAAATGGAAAAAGCTGCAGCCTCTCTTCCTGGACTGATATCTTCTATCTGCGTATGTTCCCCTGCCGATATTTGATAGTAAAACACATATTTGTTTTTATCTGTATTAGATCATATTATTTATTAAGTATTATTAAGTATTTTACTATTAGGTTATCAATATATCGTTGTTGACATATATATTAAATGACACAGTAACTATATATATATATATA